GCTGCCCAGGGAAGCTGTGAATGCTCCATCCCTGGCAGCGTTCAAGGCCAGGTTGGACAGAGCCTTGGGTGCCATGGTTTAGTGTGAGGTGTCCCTGCCCATGGCAGGGGGGTTGGAACTGGATGATCTTAAGGTCCTTTCCAACCCTAACAATCCTATTATTCTATGATATTCAGCATCTCTCCTTTGGAAGCCCCACAGGGTGAATAGGCAACTTCACTTGTCTGCTTGCGTCACACTAGAGAAGCTTATGTCAGAGCGGGTGACCAAAGAACATCTATTCCCTCCCTGCCCCATCTTGCCCAGGAAGCATTCTTTCTTCTAACTAAATAACTGTGAGGAAGATAGAGGCAAGTCTCTTTTGAAGAAGGGAATAAATGAGCCATATTTCAGTCCAGGACACAATACCAAACCTAACTTTACAGACTGACATCTTTGCATTCACAGGATCTCTTCTATAGCTTTACATTTCTTGAAGTTTTGGACAGATTTTTGTTTGTTTAAGGTCAAAAACACTCCGTTTACCCAGCTATTTTTAGCTGTGCTGGACAGATCCATTGAATTATTCCATGAATTATTCATAGCACAAGAAACAGCCCGGGCATTCCTATGATGTTTGAAGGCAATGACAGCTTCTCACGTTTTCACTGTGCAACTGCAAATCCAGACTCCAGCAAGAGTCTCACAGGTCTACTAAGGGAGGCCAGAAATGAGCCTCCTTCGGACAAGTACCCGTGCCCAAGTGCTGGGAACACAGTGATAACCAGTAAGGTCTGCTATAGTGAAAATACCCTGTTGCAGGGTGGTGGTGGTGGGGTTTATTATGCCTTATTCTGATGTTTTGCAAGCTTAAAAAGCCACACCTTCCAAAGCAGACAAAAAGGTCCTCAGAGCAGAGAAAGGAACAGCAGGGAGCAAATTGCTACTGATTGTTCTGGAAATATCCTTCACCCAACTTACTAATTACACACTCCGTTGATCACCTATAATTATGATCTGAAAGGAAATTCTACACCCTGGCAATTTAGCTGGTGTTTCTCTTTTAAAGCCAACCATTTCCACTCTAATGAAGCTCAGTATGAAGCAGCGAAACCTTGGAGGGAAAGGCTACAGACACGAAAATGAGTGCTTGCTGTCTCATTAACATTTTACTTGCTTGGCTAGGAGTCCTTTTGTTACAGGAAGCTAAGTGTTTTTATGGCCAGCTCTCCTGAATCTGTAATAATATCCAATATGAAAGTAAGTGATTTCTGCTTTTAAGCTACTGAGCCTCTAAATAATCTCCACTAAAGCTAATGTATCCACAGTCAATGCGCAGCGCTCGCTAAAACACAAGTAATTGCTGCCTTGGCCAGCTCCATAGCACAACTCCAAACCTGACGTTTGGCAGCTGTTAATATTGATAGCTGGATGGATCCAACCTGTCAAATAGGGTCTTCCCAAAAGCAAGAGTATGTCTGGAGCTAAAGTTTTCTTTCCAGTCCATAAAATGTTAATGCCAGGCTGAGATGCTCCAACAGAGAACCAAAACCTCAGCAGCCATGGAAGAGTTTCCCTGCATAGGCAGAGCTAAGCATACCCATGACACATAGGTACTCCTGGTGTTTCCACATGGAAACCTACAGCCTTGGTTTAACTCCACCCTTAAAAGAGTCATCTTGTGGAGCCAAAAGGAACACAAGGCAATAAAATCCACACTTTAGATGTTTCTGAGAAATTAATATAGCAGGTAAGTGAAATTTAATGGCAAATTAATTACTGTTGAGGTTTCTAGTGTCATGGGATCCTTCATGACCACAACCAGCTAAAACAGCTGCCTCATGGAGCCAGATGTAATCTATGATAAGAAACTAAGGCAAATATGAAAGTGGGAAGAGAGCTACCTCTCAGTGAACTAATCTGTGTGAGAAACATGCTTCTGGAGCCCTGCTCTCACCTTCTCAGTGGGCAATTCATTCTAAGGAATCACCTAACAGATGAGGGTAAAGAGGGTCAAAGAGAAGATGGGGCTGCCAGCCCTTTTCCACAGGCAGGTGTGTGTAGCAAAAATGGGACAGGGATGCTCCTTCCAGCCACGTGCTATAGCACCAAAATACTGTCACTGTAAAAGTTTGTTTTAATCAATAAACCATTATGCAAAGACCAGAGCTAAGTTGCCCATTTGGTCCTATGTAAAGGACACAATCACAGGTAAGGCATTTGCAATATTCATATGTCAGTTCCAACAACAGCTAGGAAAACCAATAGTCCAACAGAGAGCAAAGAGAAGTCTAATCAGTAGCCTGGGATTGTTGCCAGCAGTGGCAAGCAGCAGAAGATGGGAGAAAAGGTAGAAGACTGGCATGCTTCTTTCTCATATTGAATCTGTTTCATCAATCTATGGAGGAGGAGGTTCACATTCACATCACCATTTTCTATGTGAAAAGGTGTACCCAACACTGGCATATATGGGGACCTGTATTCCATTTTCTTGTCTCATTCCCTAGCCTCTCAAGCCTGGACCGGTTTCCTGCAGAGTGGCACAGTTTCGGGAGCTGGGTAAAGAGTGCTGTCCACCAGCTCCCAAGATAGCCTTATAGTAAGTGCACTGTCCTAGGCCTTCAGTCCTGCACTTCCCACAACCTCATTGCACATTACACTAACACAAACCTCCCTGCACTCAACGTGTAGCCTGATGTGTTTCCATCAGTCATCCTTATGGTTCTCAATGACATCCCTGGGGCAGAGATTCAGGGGAAATCAGATGTTGAGGATGTCTTGCCAAGAGAGAGACAATTCTGATGTGCAGTTCTGTAGAGAGCTACAAAGCCCAACAGGAAAAGTAATTGTGAAATACAGGCATCTCCAGGCACTGCGGCAGCTCAGAGGAGGTTTTCTAACAGTGCAGAGGTCTGAATTCAACATGCACCCTCTGTATCAGTCATTTTAGTAGCTGGAAGCTTCATAAGCTCCAGGATCAAGTAATTCCTTAGCTTTCATCCTGTGTTACACAAACAGGCTCCTTTCAGGTTTCTTCTTCATTCCTGTGCCCCATTCTTGCAGCTATCTTTGAAAGTGTTTAATAAATGGATTTACTGGGAACCCAGAGACACATGCTACTGCCCCTGTGAAATACAGAGCAACAGAAGGATTAGTGTGGCACAGTGACATCCTTCAGTTTGGGTTTGTTGTTTGGAGTTTATATATTCACATACATATATATGTGTGTATATGACATTAGAAAGTCTGATTATAAGATTTTCTGGAGGCTAGAAAGGGAGGTTTTCTCCTTCCTTCCTAGCTACCTTTTTTGACAGAAACAATGAAGGAATAGTTATCACTTGCTCTAAAAGTATATGATAGGATGTACATGGAGTTTTACAGCTAAATCCCAAATGGGACCCCTTCAGCACATCAAGTAGTGAGAAATTCATTAAGTGCATTATGTCCTCTTAAGAATTCACTTTGGCAAGCTTTACTATTTCTATCTTTTTCGTAGCACACGCAAATAAAATGTGATGATCCACAAGAGAAGCCAAGCCTACTTTTCTGCTAAGACAATCAACTTAACGAAGCAATTAGTGTAAGAATATTAGTAACATTAATGCTTAATGAGCTAAATCTTTGCATCATATCCTCCAGTTTCCCCAGCTTGCTAAAAAAAGTTTATTTATTGTCTTAAATTACAGGGCACTTCTGAAATGAGGCATAATCAAATCAAGGTAATTAAAATGAGAGAAGGCTGGAATAACTCACTTTCACCTGCACGTTGCAGTAGGGTTGGACTAAGAGTTTCTAATGAAACCAGGAAGTATGCAGAGTGCGGTTCGGCTGATTTGCATTTATGGAACTGGAAGAAAATATTACCTTATTAAAGGGAGTTTCAGAGGAAATGTCATCACAGGGAGGTTGCCCTGGCTTGACTTCCTAGCAGATTATACAATCACTTACAAACTTGACTGCTTCACAGAGGCAGCTCCTCCGCAGCTCTAAATCAGCATGGTCTCACTGAAGTTAATGAAGCCACATCGATTTATACCAGGTGAGCACCTGCCCACTAGCCCTTTCGATATATATGTATATGCCTGCACAGAGCAAGGTTCAGCTACATCTGTGTACACCCCAGAAAGATGCCACCGAAAGCATAATGCTGCTGTGCCCACATAATCAATTTGACCAAATTCAGCTGCTTGGACAAGGGCTGCAGCACCCGGTCTGCCTCTGGTGATTTATTCCTGCAGCTATGTACAAGCAAATGAGCTAGGTAATATTTGCTGGCCATGAATACCACTGATCTCAGTGCTGTACACAACACTTGTTAAAACTCCCATATTTGCCCTAAGTCATGACAGCCCTGAATAAGCTGACTTCATACGTTTGCAGCTGGGAAGAGCAAGAGGGGCTTTTGTTAGCACTGCCTGGTGTGATGCACAATTCCCTTTGGGTGGGGGTGTCTCTGTGCTTTCCTACCTGCACCCCCAAGCAGCGAGGTTAACACAGCATGGTTGCAGTAAGACCAAGGGAACAAAACCCTTTTACACTCACAGGAAGCAGCCTACTGTTGTTTTATAAACATAGAGTAGCTGATGGGTATTGATGCCTTGCCTTACTGCCTGTGTACACACCCTTGAAACCTTCACAATTAGATTGCATTCAAGGTATTTCACTCTGATGAGGTTAATCTAAGACAATTCTTGGATTTTAAGCTCCTGAGGCAGGAGGAAAGGATCTGGGATTCAAAGGATGCATTTCACCTCACAGATGGAGTCAAAGCAGAGCTCTAACAACAGGCATCTGCTGCAACATCACAGCTACATCTAGATCATTAAAACGTAATACTTGATATTGGCAGAGTATTTACCATGTCTCTTTAAGAAACCAGGATTCAGTCTGTTGAAGAAGCAACTGAGACTGCACCTCAGAGGAGGCCATGAGGATGATCAGGGGACTGGAGCACCTCCCATATGTTAGTATATTCCACAAACAGCAAATGAAAGCACAGGGCATCTAAACTGAAAAACAAGGTCACATTTGAGGTGAAGGAACTTACTTAAAAACTTAAAAATTAGCCATCTAGATGATCCCTTAAGATCTCTTAGTTGCACAATCCAATTAGCTTCATCACGCCTAAAACACACACCCTTGCACACCAGCTCTAGTGTGGGTCTCCAAATACATCTAGCGAATGAGTCAAAAAACATTTCTGAGAATGAGTACATTTCTTCATCATTGAGTTGATGGAAATACCATGGGGAAGCCTGCACAAAGTATTAGATGTTTCATAGTCTCTATTTCTTCTGAAAGAAAGAGTTCCTGGGCAGTCACTCAGGGACTCAGAAATGTACCATCAAATGAGCCATATCAATCAAGGAAAGTTTAAGATCTAAAACCATGGACATAAAACACAGTTCAAGTTATAAGAAGCAGCAGGACATCATTCAAGTACCGATACATTGAGTCTCAGCTGTACTGAAGGATGATAACACATAATGGTGCAGAAATAACATAATTCATTAGCATCAATACACAGTAGTAGGCAATAAAATTATTCAGAGCTGCAGTGTCATTAACCTATGTCAAGTGACACAAATGAAACGAACATCTGAGGACTACATTGCAGGAAAAATCTAAATAGAGAACATGTCAAAGAATCCAAGATGCACGCACATCATTGTTAGCCTCCTCAACCAAGCAGTACTGTCATTTTCATCATGGCATAACATAGGTTTGTAGAGCTACTCTTACACAAGACAAGCTATAATCCCACTGTAGCTGCAGCTCAATCTCTTTCCACTTGAATTCCCTGAAGAGGCAGGAAGGCACATCCAAGGTCAGATGAGCAGGGAGCCAAAAGCCACATTTCTCAGATACACTGATGCAGTATTTGGAGCTTCAGTGGCACTTAATAAACTGCTGCTTAGGGGCTGTCTGCTGATGGTCAACATGGCACAAGAGCTGGGGTGTGGGGTAGACTTTGCTATGGAAAGGTACACAAATAGGTGCAGGTGTGAAGAGGAGACAGTACAGCAAGCTGGAAACTGGGACATGGCAAGCTGTGGTGGATCCATAGCAATTTGCTATATGAAAAAGATAGCAGGGAACAGAGATGACAGAAAAATAGCACAGAAAGAAAAAAACCCAAACCAAAACCACCATAGTGAGGTTCAACTTAAGGTACCCAGAGAGTGAAAAGAGCAATCAGAACTAACATTGCAGTTGTACAGTGTTGGGACCCGAAAGGGTGAATGAGCTTTTATTTCAACAGACTGAAAACTAATCTACTGGCAGCAGGAGAGATTAGCAACACAAAAGATAAATGTTAGACTGTCATTAGACTTTTGGAGCCCATTGCACACTTTCCTGCTGTCATATTTCAGCATCCCATTAGAAATCACCGGCATTAAAGGCCATTTCAAAGTGGGACTTTCAGGAAAGTGTTTTATAGCAGTACTGATCTTTCATGATGACAGGGGAAAAACCTCAGTTCACTCATGAGACTGCTCCTGCTTCAGCTTCTAAATTAATCTGGGACCAAATGCCCAGGCAGACACACAGTGCTAATGACAGAAGCCTTTTGCTTGGAAGAAGCAGCATTTTTTTTCTAATTAAAAAGAAACCCAGCACATGATATAAGGGAAAGGTTGATTACCTGCGAGACTGGTTCAATAGCGGGAGTTGTTGTTTTAGCAGCTCTGGGATTCCCAGAAGGGATGCTACAAAGAACACCAGTTCAGCATTGATTACTGTGCACAAGCACTGGCCATCTCAGAAAAGGGAGCCTGGTTCCTTAGTCCAGGAGCTCTCAGAAAGGTGATCATCAGTCCTATTTTTAATACAAGGTGAAATGCTCTCTTTGGCGGTCTTCAAAGAGGGTTTTGCTTTTGCAGGAGTAAAGGAAGGTGAGTAAAGGCTTCCTGCATCTCTGCTATCTATGAATTAAAAAATGAGTGCTACAGAAATTGGGTGGGTTTGGCTTTTCTTCAGTGTTTTAAAAACATAATACATCACTATTGCTATGAAAATTAGGAGAGAGCTTTGTTCTCTGGCTTGAAAAGTCAGACTAGTTGGGTCTTCTCAGCCTAACCACCCAAAGCTCCTGACACTTCAGTGACTGTAGATCTGCCTCTTGACCATGTTTATTCCATCACAGATGCAACATAAGAGAAGGAATCTCTATGAGTAAAAGGAAGGCATAAAGCCACATCTGAACCTGAGTATACTCCCATGGAGATGCAGAAAACCAACAAGCACTGAGCCTGCTAGAAAAGAAACATTGATTTTATTCCACAGTTGTGTCCACATACTAAAACCCTTTTTAAAGTGCACATCAAGTGGCAATACCCTTCCAAATGTTTATTGTGATGGGTAATACCAGTGTCACCTTCTTGTAACACTCCACAGTGTGGGGAAGGGAAAATAGTCACTATTCTGGTCACCTACCTTCCCACTATTGAGAGTAGAGACTGAGAGTCTCCTCCAAATGCTGATTCAGAACCACAGCCTAGTTTAGCTGAACTATGGGACTTCCTTAGTTTTGTTGGATGTTATCCCATTAAACATTTTATTTCAATTCCAAGAATTCTGTCCTTGCTCAGTCCCATGTTTTATGTGTCTCTTTGGGTCACATTGTTCATTACATTCCAGCCAGTGCACAGAGCCAGCACCCAGTGAGTTATAGGTGACCAAGAAGACTTGTTTGCAGGAAACTCTATCTACCTCTCAAAGCGAATCTTTCCCCTCTTCCTCTTTGGTAGCATGAGGTTGTTTCTGATCTTTTCCCATTCACTTTAGCCTTTTAAATCCATTCATTGAGGCACTAGCACACTTTCTGTGAAAGCACACTGGGCTCAGCCGTATGTGGAGTGCTTTACCCAAGCATTTAGCTACATAATGAGTCTTGCTTAATAAAACCTGACATATTAAACACTGTTTCTGCTGAAGTACACTGCACTGATTCTCCTGGTGATCATTTGATTGCAATGTCAATAAATCAGTCACCAGGTTAAAAAGAGAAACCAAAACAAATCGTTAATGTGGTCAAGCATAGGAATCCTAATGTTGGGAGGAAAGACACTCAAAAGGCCTGTAAGGTAATGTGTTAGGTCTTGTTTAGTGATGATTACATTCTAACCTTCACCCACTCAGCACCAACAGAGAAAGCAAATCTCTCCCACTACCAATCAAGCTGTAAATAGGTGGGAACAAGGATCCCCTCCCTAGGAATAACTGCTAGGCAAAACACACCAAAAGAGAGTTTCAAATTGGAAGTGGCATACACCACTCTGCTTACAATTATAGCCAGGAAAGGGACAGCGCTATTTCCCCCTGTGTTAGTAACTTGCTGAGGTGCAGTTACTATCTGGATGCATCATGAAGATAGATGAGACCCCGTCTTTGAAAAGCAAACAAAAAGTGCATGAAGGATGTTCCCCTTTTAAGCAGAAAAACTCAACTGTTATTTCAAAGCAGAACAATGAAGTAACCAGAAAACTCCAGGCTTTGTCCATAACAGTGAGTGACAAGGACAGCTTGGGCTTGAGGTCAGTATGAGAGCAAAAACTCTGCTTTCCCAAGTGTGCAGCATGCTCATTTTTCACTGGAGTGCAGTCAGAAACCCTCATGTTACAATCATAGCCAATGCAAGAGAAAAATGTTGCTAATAAGACAAAGAAGAATTACTGATCAGTTCTCTGATCTTGCATCTGCCTAATGACAAAAAAGGAAACAGGCATGGATAACCCACCCTGCCCATGTGCTGCTTTGTGGCCTGAAGCAAAAAAGCATCTCAACAAAACCAGAAGGAAAAGGTCTTTCACAGACCCCAGCTCTCAGTCAGTTTCTCTTTGAATGGAAAGCTGCAGGAGTGATTCATTCTATTTTTGATAAGCTGCAAGAAAAGGCTTTTCATGCAGAACCACTTAAAACAATTACTAATTATTTCTGATTCCTACCCACCAGGGTTGCAGCACAGCACCTAAATTGCATGGGCAAACACCTGGACTACATCTCCACTAGATCAGGCAGAAGCTGAGCACTCAAAGGTGGCAGTGAAAGACACACAAAGCCTTCTGTCATCACCCATGAGTGGCTTTACTTTGGTGGGCTACAGATATCAACCATAGTAACCAAGAACTGTTGGTCATACTACATCTCCTGCAAGGAGGGGAACTCTCTCAGCTCTACTTCCTCTGGTCTAACACATCACACCTTACCTGGGGTTTCCAGGTGGAAATGACACCACAGCATTTCCTCACTCTTAACTTGAAAACCATCTAACACCTCCTTGCAACATCTCACCCTACCTTTGCATTGGTGGTGTGATCCAACTCTCGTACTACAGCTTAATGGCACTAAGTCAAGAGGGCAGCCATCAGAATGCACCTTCCCACAGCAGCCACCTTGTTACCTGGAGCCAAGTGGGACAATTGACTGAGGCCCTACAGCCCCATTTCCCTAAATATTTGCTGTTTGAAAACAGGTTGGTGCTTATGGGTCAAGAAAGATTGGTTTGCTCCCAGGGCGTAGCAATGATTTTCTTAGTATGCTTGAGACTTCCTATGGGAACAAGCCTGTAGCAGACGCTGGAGTCCAGCTCACTTGTTTCTTTAATTCTGTAGTTCAAGTTTCCCTTTTATGACAAATTCCCATTGTGTAGTTTCTCCTGTCAAACACATGCAGCCATCTGTATCCACTGTATCACTTCCTTACCAACTGACCTTTCTCAGTGAGAGGAATTCCTTCAGGAAACATCATCTTACTAAATGCTATCTAATGAACTCCTGCAGAAATATTGCCTTGACCTTCAGTTGGCACCTCATCATAAAAGGCAACTCCTACACAGCCTCTACAATACCTAACCACTCCTTTCCTTTGCAGTAGACAACAAGATGATGTTTTTTCCCCAAGGGAAATAGTAAGCCCCTTCTCCTATATGCCAATGGAAACAGAGAGCATTTAACAGCATGTGAATTTGTCACCCCATTTCAGGGCACCTTCTATACACCTGTAGGAATGGCAATTACCATGCTGTGCAATGAGATTTGCAATCAGTTGGCAGCCTGTCCTATGTCATGATTAACATGTCTAGCAGTGCTGTGTGTCAATAGCTTTCATTCTGCTGGGTACCTCACTGAAACATGGGACTCATTGCAACAGCCATTACACTTACAGCATGGAACTAAAGTCCTTTTTGGCTGGCTCTGAACCCTTCCTGCAATAGCTCAGTGATGACTATGCAGAGCTTGTTTCCAAGGAAATAATGCAGGGACTACATGAGCGTGGATATATAGACCACGAGTGAACCCACAGCTTAAGAAGGTCCTGCTCTATCAGTACTCTTTATTTACTCATGCTAAAAAAGAAAACAGGGCCATTTTAACAAGCAATGGTGACAGAGAACAACCAGGTTTTACAGCTTTACACCAGATTTATGGGGAAGTAACTTCCAATACAAGCCCAAATTGCAGCCGTATTTCTTCAAATTGAACTTTTTGTCCAACAATTCGTGCCTCTGGTGAGGAGTTGGAGCTGCCCTTATAGGTGTGTCTGTAATATGCCACAGAAGCTCTCCAGCTTGGCTCTCACAAGCCTGACCCCTGCTCTGCAGACAGTTTTATGCATCTCGGAAGCACAGCAGACTGTTTCTGTACCCTAGACAATTAATTGCCTGTTAAATCACCGGGTTTGGTTTCAGATCCATCTCTTTTTGTTATAGTGGCAATAATCTCTAAACTGCTTTCCACTGCATAAGCAGGCCCTGAAGAGATTTGTCTTCAGGACTTTTTCTAGTTACAGACAGGATTCCAATGATAACGCCTGAATAATTGGCAAGAGGGGGCTGGAAACAAGCATGCAGATAGGACAACGCTTCTTTTCTGAAGAAGCTTAACATGCAAGAAGAGTGTGATACTAATGAAATGTCAGGCTGGTCATAACCGAGTAATAGCATCTTCCTGCTGTCAGTCCAGTCACTTAACTACATGACAAAAATGAGCTAGCAGTTCACATGGCTAGACTACAATAGTGTGCCCATTACTCTAGATCTGGACCCCATGAGAGGGACAGCAGCACATGTAGAGCCTCATCTGACATGGAAATGACATGCTGCAAAAGATGTGCCAGCCCAAAACTCCTTGTGGAGGAAGAGCTTAAAAGCATCTGTCAGAACTGATAAGCCTGCTCCTTTGCCTCAGAAAGAGTTTGTATAATTATCCAACTACATCTTGAGTGTGACACCAATGAGCCTGTAAAAGCACAATTGGGTGACAAGGTGCTCTAAGGCCTGAAAAGGAGAGGAGAAATCAGGATAATTTTTCTCTGTTTTGCATTAAAAAGTGCCTGAATAATTCTTAAGTGAAAAACCTGTTTCTTACCAGGATCTGATAAGCTACCTTAGCACCATTAGCCTATAGAAGAAGCAAGGTAATACAACATAAATACGTGTTCTTCCTTTGCAAATTAGGCAACAGGAAATTACTTTTTCCATGGTGACCAGGAATGCATGCACAGAAAGATGGAGCCAATTTATCACTCATGCTGTACTTAATGAGCATTTAGTCAAAGCCCAGATGTCTTCTGGTATCTTGAGGTGTTACAGCGAATGCGAGATATGGCTGAGTCACACATCGCGCCCAGGGCATCTCCTTCACTCCTTACAACTTGCCCCATATCCATGCAATTAGGTTATAGAGCCAGCTTTCTGTCTCCAGGAACAGACATGGTGGCTTGCTCAGCATTATAAGCATTACCTAAATCCTTTGCAAGCAGAAAATAGAATTCCCAAGCCAGTTATGCTGATGTTATCATTAATACTGGCCAATAAGT